TAAAGCCATGTTAAACTGTCATATTTAAAACGGTTTAAATGGTTAAATGGTTTAAATGGTTAAATGGTTTAAAGCCATTTCTTACATTTTACTATTCTTGGGGTGACTATTTTAGTCATTTTTGAAAATGACCATTTTAATTTCCTATAATATATAAAGAGCCCTTTTAAATAAGTAGGAAAAAGAATAATATAAGTTAGTAGAAAAATAAGCAATGGATACAAATAAACAGCTCAAAGAAAATCAAACCTAAATTTGGCCAAGAACCATATAAAAAAGCCATGGTGAACTGTCATTCAACCCGTTTATCCCCACCTGACTCTGATTTTTAATAAGGGGCACATGGTATTTCTCTCCTGCCAGGATGCACATGGATTATTCAGGTCCTTGGCCTCTGATAAATATGATATTCTTCTCTAAAGATTGCAATGTCATGTAATCATGTACAATTCATATATAAATGTTTATATATATACGCTTAATATACATATAACATATATTCAAAGTGTGTATGTATATACCACGATATACACTCTTAAAAAGACGCATGAAAACAATGATCACCAAAAGGTTAACAATGGTTATCTCAGGGTAGTAGAATTTTAGATAAACTTGGCTTTCTCATTTTATTTTACATGTTGCTTGAATTCCTTAAGATAAGCATATGCTACTTATATTTTACATAAATTTACTTATAGATTATATTTATAGATAATATATTTTTATATACTGAGAAATACATTTTGTATTATCTAATTTATATATTATATAAAATGTACATTTTATACAAAATAAAGATATTTAATTGTGAAAAAGGCAACAACAAAATAAATAATTTAATAGGCCAATGAATGGCATAAAGGAAAAAAAAGTCCCTTCTTCATAGCCCTTGCCTTAATATAGTGGTAATTCCAAACCTATTTTTACACATAATTGCACTATTAAAACTAGGAGTTTATTAAACTAGAATGTGAAAAATGTCCCTATTTCTATAGGAATCTTCTCTCTTTTTAACTAGAAGAGCTTCTAAATCCCTGTTCCAATTGCCCTGCCCAGTTCCTACCGATGGATTTTAACCACATATCCTTGCTGCAGGTGTTTAATGAGAACTGTTAGGTAGCAAGAATGAACCTGGCTTGGTTAGCAAAAGGGAACACACAAAGATATGCAAGCTGACCTTGAGGAAACATGATCAACTTTCCCATCACTTGCCCCAAGTCCTCTCACCAGTGAAGTTAAAGGTGAAAAGCACCATAAGATGCCGAGAGGTTGGAACAAGAGAATTAACAAACAAATGAGCCGAGCACAAGAGCAGAACTGCCTCTGGGTCCTATAAATAAATTTGGGTTTACTGCAACATGTCTTTCTTTGCAACCTAAAAGAGTCAAACTAACACATGTGACCACTTGAGACATAATTATATTTCATCTTTTTAAAAAATATTTCATCAAATAAAGGTAATAAATCAAGGTAGGAAGCTCTTTGCCTGGTTTGTATAACTAATTATAAAGATATATTTACTATACAGTTTTCCACCATACAGTTTTCATAAAAGGTTTTGGAAGTACAAATCAAAATTAGTATCTGAAAAGTCCATTTCTTCCAATTTTATGATTCTAAAATGATTTGGCATGCCTGGAGTTCCTTAAGTTTCATGGAGCCTGAAGTCCCCAACCCCTGGGCTGGGGCCTGTTAGGAATTGGGTAGTAGTACATCACCTTCTGCATTCAGCACCCTCCCCACCCTGGTTGAAAAATTGTCTTCCATGAAACTTAGGAAAGGGGGGTGTGCACAGCAGGAGGTGAGTAGTGGGTGAGTGAGTGAAGCTTCCTCTGTATTTACAGCCACTCCCCATCACTCGCATCACCGCCTGAGCTCCACCTCTGCCTCCCCCATCCCACCGCCACCACCCCCCACCACCCCAACCTGGGTGGAAAAACTGTCTTCCTTGAAACCAGTCCCTGATGCCAAAAAGGTGAGGGACCGCTGCTAAGCCATTCTCAAACTGCACCTGGCCTCTAGTCTTGTAATTCATCTGAATATACTTGGTAAATGAATAAAGTTTAAGGTGACTATCCTTTATCATAGATCATGTAGTTCCTACTCCACCATTGATTTATATTACTCTTCTCATAAAGAAATCAGAAAAGGAAAATTTAAGACTAGGAAGTAAGAGAACTTGCTTGAGAAAAAGGTGGTATTGTTTCCCTTCTTGTTCTTCCTGAAGACGCTCCTCAGGAAAGGGTGGGTAGCAATTTAGTGCAGCCATCCTGAGGCCAGGGCAGGACTGCAAGAGTTAAAGTTAGGCAACCGTGGAAGGAAGATTACGGAATTAAGGGTGGCTGCTCTGCCAAGGGGAACATGGATAGTTAGGGTGGCCACTTTTAAAATGGAGGTCAGCACCCGTTATCTGGAAGAAAGTGAGAGGGCCAAGAGGTCAGCAGCAACTAGGAGAAGGACACAGGACAAAGGAGGTTTTGTCTGGAGACTGGCTGTCTCTCCCTTATTTCCAAGAGGGTTCTAATTCAATCTGAGCTAGCACAAGGAGCTGCACTGTCTGGGGCACCATGAGAGCACTCAGAAGCTACTATGGGCTGTTTTCTGCAAAAGAGGAACATTAGACCTCAGCCAGCCTTTGTGAGGACATTGTAGGAAAGGGATCTATGCCCAGTTAGCGCATGAAGTCCACACACACTAAGACATTTGGTCACTTCAGGGCATGTGTAAACCACTGGATACCCAGCTGAGGCAGGGAAAGGGAAGGTCTCATGCCTGGATTTTGGAACCAGACAATGGTTCAGTGGAGCAACTCCAACAAGGAGAGAGTAGAGCAGGCATCTCATTACAACTGTTTACAACTTTTAATGCCCTGTCATTGCCCTTGCCTTCTGGAGGCAGGAAGTGGCTCTTGGCCAAGCAGCATGAGCTCAATATAGTCTCTGGTTATTTATGTTCACACAAAGCCAGGGTAGGTACAAGTGGTCTCCTGTCAAGTCAGATGATAACCTCCAGTGGTATGTATTCCGGTCCCAATTTCTTTCAAATTTATGCATTCATAATTTGAAATTATTTTAAATAACCTGGAAGATATCCCTTACCACAGATAGTAAGCACATAAGTATCCTCCTGCATGATATTAAAATGGTTTTCTTATGAATCAAGGTATGGAGTCCATAAACAATTGGTCTTTGAGTCTAATGCCAGAAAGGGAGTCTCCATATAAATTATGCTAAAGCTAAAAGCATTGTTTTTATAGTCTCCAAAATTAAACTCCAAAGTTTAACATTAAATAACAAGTTGCTATAAATTAATTTGATTTGTTTTCTAGAGGTACATTTTGCTATTAATTTATCTGGAAAATACCCCAGGAAAAAGAACAAACAAAAGAAAAGCTGTGAAACTCATCTCTTCCTCCTCATCTCTGTGACCTTCTTGGTCTTTAATGTTTCTTGATTGGACAACTGCAATGGCATTGTAACAAATCTCTATGCCTATGGTCTGTCTCATCCTGGCTACTTCCAGCAAACCCATTCTGCACACACATGTGTGATAATATGCAGCTATACACCAGGAATATGTAACAGTCCCACCATAGGTGCTGGCTTCCATGCCTTGAATTTACCCTGATCACCTCTTATTCCATGTATTCCAATCTGATGCTCTTTGCTCTTGTCTCTGACTCTAGTTCTGATGGTTCCCTTTGGACATTCTATTCTATTTCAACCCCAGCATCTCTGCCAAACATAATCCTGATAGTCACCTAGTTCTATCATCCTAATCCTAGCACTTTGATCAGAGATACTTGTGACCCTTACACACCCTTACACAGTCCTTCAGCACCTACTGGTCTGCCAGGGGAAGTTAGAAAGTGCCTAGTCCATGTCCCTCTAACCTACTCTCTTAATTGAAGCCAGAGTCATCTTTCTAAAATGAAATACTTATACTATCTCTCCTCTGATTAAACTTCTTCAATGCTCCCTATAGCCTTCAAGATAAAGTCCAAATTCCCTATTGGCAAACATGGCACATCAAGTTCTTCATGGTATTGCTCCAAACACCCTTTCTAGCCAACTCACTCATAACTCTCACATTACCATAAGACATGACCTTTGTCTTGACCATTATGATACACAGTTGGCTTTTGAACAATGTGGGTGTTAAGGGCACTGACCCCTTGCATAGTTTAAAATTCATGAAAAACTTTGGCTCTCCAGAAACTTAACTTCTAATAGGCTACTGTTGACCAAAGCCTTACGAATAATATAAATAGTCAATTAATGCATAGTTTTATGTTATATGTATTATATACTGTATGCTTACAATAAAGTCAGCTAGACAAAAGAAAATATTGTTAAGAAACTCATAAGGAAGATAAAATACACTTACCATGCATTAAGTGGAAGTAGAACATTATAAAGGTCTTCATCTTCATCATCTTAACATTGAGTAGGCTGAGGAGGAGGAGGAAGAGGAGGGGTTAGTCTTGCTGTCTCAAGGGAGGCAGAAACAGAAGAAAATTCATGTATAAGTGAACTCATGCAACTCAAATCTGTGTTGTTCAAGGGTCAACTGTGCTTATATTTTCCCCAACGTACTATGATTTCCTACTTCTGAAATCCCCCTTCTGAGATGCTCTTTCCTACACTGTTTACCAAGTGAATTCTAACTCTGTCTTCAAAATTAATATAAACATTTTCTTCTCCAGAAAATTTTCCTTGATTTCTCTAAGCAGGGATTACTCTTTCACCCTTGATGGTGCTACAGTGCTTTTTACTAACCTTATTAGGTATCACTGTAATCATTTGTTTTTAATGTTAGTCTTCCCACTAAATCCCAAACTCTAAGGGAGAAGACTGTCTTTTATTAATCTTCTAATCTTTCTTTCCTGACATAGTATCTGTTCCAGCATAATTGTTGAATGAAGGAACTAACAATCGAATGAATAAATATTAGAGTAGATCTAAAATGCATTCCTGGGAAATTTTTAATGTTACCTTTGGATGAAATAACTCCACCAGAATTGAGCAATATCATTGATTTCTTGATGGTGAAAGAAAAGCAGAAGCATGTATTCTATAGTTTGGGACCAATATTAAGACAGCAGTCATAGTTGTTTCTCTGGGACACTGGTGACACCTGCCCATTTTCCAGGAATTCTGAAATATAAGTTGCGATAAGAAACAAAGGAAGAAAAAGAAATTCAAGACATCAGTAGCTGATGGATTTGCCAGGTAGAAATAGAAATATTTTTTCTTTGATATCATATTTAAATATATAAGCTACCAGAAAAGAAATCACACCCAACAAATACTGTACAAGTTAGGAGAGAAGAAAAATTGTCTTCTGGTCATATAAAACTGTAAGTGATGCTGTGACATTGCACGTACTGGCAGGCAGACAGGATGCCAGCCAGGAAGATATGACACCATACAACTGTCATTGTTAGTAGAGTTTTACCAAGGTGTTCATACTTTTGTTGTTGTTATTATTGAATTAATATCTTTTGCAATCATCTGGATGGAACTGCAGACCTAAGTGAAATATTGTTTTCTTTTCAATAAAGGGGAAAGTAAGGATTTTTGGTGTGGCATCAGAGAATCAATAGAATTTTTAGAGCTATTTTACAACTTTCTTAACTGATATGTATTCTTTTAATGGTTCTGCTAAATTTTTAATTATTTTAATTCTGAAAAGTTGTATGAGGAGAAAGAACAGTTCCCTCCCCAGATCTCCATGTCTCATAGATGCTATACTTATGATTCTCTGATCCATTTCCATGTCGAGGTGGAACCCGTCATCCAAGAGCGTACCAAAAGGTCTCATATATCAATAACAGATGACAATCTGACCTCTACTGTTTTTATTTTCAAAGCTTGTATCGATCTCAACCAGCCACAGAGACCACTAATGTATCAGGCCCTGGACAGGGAAGGCAACCTCAGCATTCCCTACCTCCTCCTACCCAGCTCCTTTTAAAAGCCTTGCTGAGAGTAGTATTATTTAGAAATTATCTTTTATGACATGGAATCTCTCTGTTCTTCTATGTAGTATGTTATAGCCTTGAATCAACTCAAACTGTCAAATGAGATGTCTATCAATAAAAGCTGCAAAAAATAGTCATAAAAAATTGCTATTTGATTTTATACTAAAAAACCATCAGGATCATTATTAACCATCCCTTACATAAAGTTTCAAGTGTAATATTTCTTTAAAATAAAGCGAGAGGAAAAAAATATGGGACTAGGAAAGTCTTGGCTACTGTGAAAAAAATTGTGTGTGCTTCCTCCTTTCTAATAATGATAAGTCAAAACTGTAGCCCAGAAGGCTATTAACTTCTCTGGGTCCTCCAAGCTCTGTTCACAGTGAAAGTTCCATCCACCCTTTATCAGGGAATATGGCCACTCCTGCCCTTACTTGCTGTATCTTGAGTTTACAAGCCCATTTTCTCCATCCCTTCTTGCTTTTCCTCTATTTTCCTTAGGCTTAAACCTTTTTTAGTGGTAAATTCTGTCTTAATCTTTTATTCATTTGTGCAACAAAAAGTATTGAGAGTCCACTACATATCAAGTACTGTGCTATGTATCAGAGATTGTGAGTAAGAGAGAAACAATCACAGAGTTTACAATCTAAGTCTAAAGAGCTAGATTATCTTTAGCTCTTTTACAAACTCATGATTTCTCTGTGAAAATTCCAGGTTCTTTGTAACACTATTAGCCCCCAGTATTGGTGCCTCTGGGCCAGAGGCTGCTACAGACATTACTAGGCATGCCCATCAAGGACCTGAACAGCAAGGTAAGGAAAATCCACATTCTACCCATGTGCAACTGTCTGCAAAGCGGCAGATTCTGCCAGAGGCTACTGACTTTTGAGGATGTTCTAATTATCCTGATATGCTCTTTGTCTACCTCTTCACTCCTTCTGTTCCCTGCATGCTCTGATCAATCAATACTAACTTAACTACCCCAGTTCCCTGATCAAACTCTGTCTTTCAGTTCTCCACTTTGCAATTGCTGTTCTCTCTTACCCTTCCTTTGCCAACTCTCCATCTGAAATACTCCATCTGACATTTATTTGTCATTCAAATCATGGCTTAAGGAATACTTTCTCCTTACTGCCTGCTAGCATTCGTCCTCCATTTCTCTTTTCCTCCTTCCCCAAAGTAATCCCTCCTTCTTTTGTACTGGAGTTGAATAATGCAACAGTTTCTAGCTTGGTTTCCAAATTCGAATTAATCTGAGTTCATCTCCTGGCTCTACCACTTAGTCATTATGTGATCTTGAACAATTTACTCTTTCTGGGTCTCAGTTTCCTGATCTGAAAAAGGGGATAATAATAGTATCTATCCCATATGATTGTTAGAATTAAATGATATAAAGAACATACAGTAATTAGAACAGGTTCTGACACATAGTAATTTTACCAACAATCCTATGACATTGGGTTGTAATTATTCATTTAGGTTTACACTACTCCACCAGACTGGCAGTTCCTTAAGAGTAAGAACCATGTCTAATTCAATACAGGGCCCAGCATACAGCAAATATACAATAAGTTCTGAACTGAACCTAATAATGATATAAAATACGTATGTGATAATTCATTGCAATTCAATGCAATTCAAACATAAAGAATTTTAAATAGCTTACATGGACAACTGTGCTGTGATTAGAGATTATCCTCTTCATATGCCCTTTTTAAAAATTCCTGTTCCTTTATTGCTTAACTTCAGTCATTCAACAGTTATCATCAGGTGTTTGCTATGTCCCAAGCAATGTACTAGGTAGTGGCAATACCTTGGTAAACATTGGCAGCCCATGCCTCTAGAAAAGAAACAGATAAGGGGGAATGGACAAGCTTGAAGCTCTCACTCGGGTGGGGCAAGGGCAAGATATGTAACCTAAATATTTGTACTCCCATAATATGATGAAATCAAAAAGAAAAAAAAAAGAAAAGAGATGGACATATAAACCAGCTTATACAATAAAGTCCTGCTGGGGGTTACAGTGAGGTAGCACAAAAAATGCCATGGGAAAATTTAGGAGAGGCAGCTAATCAATTTTTGGAGTCAAAGAATGGAATCTGGATGAAATTAGGAGAACATGGTCTTTCAGAGGTGTACTCTTTACCCTTAAGGTAATGACTGATCAACTAGCTGCCCAGAGGCACCCCTTGTCCAGAGGCACCCTTCTGTTATTATTATTATTATTATTTTTTTTTTTTGAGACAGAGTCTCACTTTGTTGCCCAGGCTAGAGTGAGTGCCATGGCATCTGGCTAGCTCACAGCAACCTCAAACTCCTGGGCTCAAGCCATCCTCCTGCCTCAGCCTCCCGAGTAGCTGGGACTACAGACATGCGCCACCATGCCCGGCTAATTTTTTCTATATATATATTAGTTGGCCAATTAATTTCTTTCTATTTATAGTAGAGACGGGGTCTCGCTCCTGCTCAGGCTGGTTTCGAACTCCTGACCTAGAGCAATCTGCCTGCCTCGGCCTCCCAGAGTGCTAGGATTACAGGCGTGAGCCACCTCGCCCAGCCCCTTCTGTTATTATTAATGACAAACTCTAGGGTACCCTAAAGATCAGTGCCTTAGAATCTTGGGCAACCCTAGCTTCCTTACAGCATTACTCCGTGGAGGATATTCAGCCCTTAGAAGTTGATATAGATAAATGAAAATATATTGTAAAAACCATAGAATGCCCAGGTCCGTGCTAACTGGAGCCTCCTAAGCCTCCTAGAATTCACTGCAGTAAATCTTCCCGCCTTATGCAACCACACGTGTCTTCCCGGAAGGATCCAGATTTTTTTCAAAACACCTGTTAGGATTATTCATCCACCAATTATTTTTATTATGGCCCAAATGGCCTTAATTCTGTTTGCATGTAACCTGTGCTTTATATACAAAACATTCTGAGATAATCTCTGAGTTCTTTCCTTAATAAAACATTTATCGGACATCTACTGAGCCACCATGATTATTATCCCTACCCTGAGGGTTATCATATCTTGACTGTTTAAATTATTTATTTCCTGTGTTAATTATTACACCCTCAGTTTCCTCACATCTGTAGTTTTATTAATATAGTGAAGTAATTGGGGGAGAGTGGGAATACACTGAAGAATGCAAAAGTCAATAGAATCATCGCTCATCAGAGTTTTAAATGGCTTCTGGTCATAACTTCCAAGCTGTGTAGCAGGGATTCCTTCCTTTGTCTGAGCATGGCACTAGGGCAGTTCTCTTTAATTCATAATTTTTCCTTTGCATTGAACTACAGTACTTTGCCCCTCCTAACAGCAATAGAATATAAGTCTAGGTGTTGAATGTGAGTTAATCGGTAAAAGTTAAGGACTCTCATTGTCAAGTAGAACTGAGTTTGGATTCTGACTCTAGCAATAACTAGCTGTGTGACCTTGGGCAAGGTAATTAAAGTCTCTGGACTTCATCTGAATAGAGTTGTTATAAAAGCTCTGTAAGATAACATATTGTAAAAACCTTTGATAGTTTTAATAATCAAGCATTGTTCTAAGTGCTTTACATATATTAACTCATTTAGCCCTTACAAGATGCCCATCCCATAGAGGATTTAGGGCTATATATTAAGTCACCATTTTATAGGGAGTCCATGCCTCCTCTACATGCCACATTCTGTCCCTCTCAAGTCACAAAGATAAAGGCCAGCTTTCTTACCAATGCCAGCCTTGGGGCACTGATCGCCCCAGACATCCAGCCTTCAAACCCTTCTGCATGGAGCCTCTAACATGCTCTGTGTGGCTGTTTCTCTTAGATAGGCAGCCTGCAGCACTTTGCATTAGCTGCAAACATGTCTCTGCATTTCAGTCCAACAGAGCTAGCTTTGCTGACTTTAAGGACATGGTGCAAAGCACAGCTCTTTAGTTTCCAAATGAATGAAAATGACATATTGAAAGCGAGGCTGGCCACAGCATCTAGCTGGAAAACAATAATGACTCACAGGAAAGACAAAGACTGAGTAAGCACCAACGAAAGGCCACTCGTCCCTTCATTAACATCATTTGGAAAAATATGGTCTCACCATGGAACAACCAAAACCATATGGACAAAAATCTCCCACGCTTTTGAGGAGAGTCTAATTTCTATCTGGCTTATAAATTTCCTAACTTCTAAATTAGCTATATTAGGAGTTAGGGGAGAATATACAGGGACCATAGATATTAGAAATTTTTATATACAGCATGTATCTGTGTCATGACTAGCATTGCTAATCAATTGTGAAATGACTATTAGATAAATTTGATAAGAGAGCTTGTTATTACAGTCTAAATTCTGGACCACAAAAATATTCCACTGTGTGGAATATTTGTCCACTGTGTGACAAAAGGAGTTTGAAACTTCTTTACTATCACCATATATTGTCAGAGGTCTGGACAGAAATCTAAACATACGTGTGTGTGTATATATATATATATTTAAGGATAAATAAAATATTTATTGTGCTTCTCTTTCCTTGTTAAATATATTATTACACACTTTTTAATGCTACCTAATTTTGGCATATCTTAAGTGTGACAGTATCTTATAACACATAAGCTTTTCTTTCAATCTAGTCATTATTTTTATGGATGATTATTCAATACAGTAACAATTATATATGTGCAACCAAAACCATGTCTTGATTTTTTTTCCTTTTTATTTATTTATTTATTTATTTATTTATTCCAGCATATTATGGGGGTACAAATGTTAAGGTTATGTATATTGCCCTTGCCCCCCACCCCACTCGAGTCAGAGCTTCAAGCGTATCCATCCCCCAGTTGGTACACATCGCACTCATTATGAATGTATATATCCATCCCCTCCCCCCCACCTGCCTGACCATGTCTTGATTTTTTTTTTTTTTTTTTTGAGACAGAGTCTTGCTTTGTTGCCCAGCTAGAGTGAGTGCCATGGCATCAGCCTAGCTCACAGCAACCTCAAACTACCTGGCTCAAGCAAACCTTCTGCATCAGCCTCGAGAATAGCTGGGACTATAGGCATGTGCCACCATGCCCAGCTAATTTTTTCTATATATATTAGTTGGCCAAGTAATTTCTTTCTATTTATAGTAGAGACGAGGTCTCACTGTTGCTCAGGCTGGTTTCGAACTCCTGACCTCGAGCAATCCGCCTGCCTCGGCCTCCCAGAGTGCTAGGATTACAGGCGTGAGCCACCGCGCCCGGCCCATGTCTTGATTTTTAATGTCAGTAAATGTTAAAATTTTGAACTATTAATAAAAATACTATTTACATAACATTTTTCAGAAAAAAATATTTAGGTGAAAGGGTCTGATGAATCAGTATCATCTTTACTCTCTTGGGGACGTTTCAGGAATTGAGAGCTAAAAAGGAAATGTCTAGAATGTTAGGAATACTGTGCCAAAATATCTTGTATTAACTAAATCAAGGATTTATTAACCAAAATCAAGCATTCTTAGAAGACAAACCATATATATATTTTTAATGCTTTGGCTCCTCGGCATCTAAACCCCTTTGCTGTGCATGAGAAACCTAACGAGGCAGAGCCCACCCCCCCACGCTTTAGAAGCTGAACATACCAGGTACTAGCTTACCCAGCCTCACCTGCAGCTCGGATGCTGGCACATGGCCTCAACTCCTCTGATTGGAGGGCACTCACCTCAGATTTTGAAACTAGAGCTGACCAAGAAGGAGGAACCTCATAGAGTCCATTCCAGCAAGGGGGTGAGCAGGGACAGAAACTGCATTCATTTTGCAGAGGCAGCAGGCATAGTGATTTAGTGGCCACCTCTAGTGCCAGCATCAGGCTGCAGGTAAGATAAGCCTGAGGTGTCTGTGCCTATCAGCAGAGGGATTGATATCCTCCTGGAATACTCCTGTTGTGTAATACTGGGCATAGTGCCTGGCTCTACGGCCTCCAAGCCTGGTTCTTCAGCACTTCTAAGAGATTGTCAGATATCCAGTATCCTTTAACTAATTCTGTTGTATGAGACCAGAATTATGATTATTTAATTGTATTTACTTTTTTAAATATTGGATATATTATCCAGCCATATATTATAACTTGAAAAATGGGGTAGTTTCTTCCAGGTTAACAGGGAAGAGGGCATACCAGGGGTCCTCAAACTTTTTAAACAGGGGGCCAGTTCACTGTCGTTCAGACCGTTGGAGGGCTGGACTATAGTTTTAAAAAAAACTATGAACAAATTCCTATGCACACTGTACATATCTTATTTTGAAGTAAAAAACAAACGGGCAAACACACATGCATGTGGCCCACAGGCCGTCGTTTGAGGACGCCTGGCATAGACACATAAATTGTGCAACGGCAAGGCCTTGCCATTGCAAAACATTTGATGTCACTTTGGAGCATTTTCTCTTTGAATTCCAGCATGTACTTTCCAGGATGCAATGACTGAGTACTGACACGCAAAGTGCATTTAACTGTTTCTTCTTACACCTACGAGTGTCCTCATACCACACTGTGGTTTCTGGCCTGTCCTTTCCCCACACTGACTGGCCCACTCAGGGTGCTTGGCACTGGGAGTAACTCCCATCCATTGAGAATGTCTTTAAAATCCTAGGTCAACCTTCATGTTTTACTGGACTTTCCCTCATTTTATTCATTCACTTTCCACTTTCTTGTCAGAGTTTCTCAGTACAACATTCTGCTTCTTTAAAGAGGGTCCTTAACAATGTATTATATACCGTGCTTGAAAATTGCTAACTGAGTATATTTTAAAATGTTTTCACTAGAAAAAAAATATGTGAGGTAATACATATGTTAATTAGCTTCTTTTAGTCATTCCATAATGTGTCCATCTATCA